GATGTCCCAATGAACAAAGCATTTATTTTCTTCTTAGATAATAAAATGATTGTAAAAGTCATGAAACAGGATTATGAATTAAATATGTGAGGGCAGCACAGTAGTTGCTGACCAGTATGTGGCATATGGAAAATACTTTTTAGTAGGAAATGATACTAATAGTAACGGAGATTAAAAAAAAAAAAAAAAAATCCAAATCTTGGATTCTTTTATTTTTTTAATTATTTTTTAAGAGCGGAATTTGAATATGTCTATTATCGGAGCTGAGAGTAGAGGTTCTTTAATATGATCCTGTAGCACCATGTTAGCTCCCAAATCTTTTCCTCAAGGATCGAATTTGCATGTAAAATGAGTGGCACTTGTTTTTGTCACCTATCTATAGACAGCTTTGGCTTGTCTTGCACTGTAAATTGTCCTTCTTACAACAGTTATACCTTTTAGCCTGACTTACATTCCTAAATTTACCTTCATCCCACACAAATCTGGTATTCAGACTTCTTTTTATTCAATTTTTTTTTACATCGGGAATGTAGAATTTTGAATTTGAGGGGATTTTATTTTTCTTTTTAAGAAAAGGATTCATAAGCAAAAGGAATTAAGCTTCTATCTTCTTGTTTTTTTATCTCCAGTTATTTTTTGAGTCCTATATTTCAACTTTGACAGGATAAGAAATACATAGGATGTGTGATATGCATGCAATTGTAAAAAAAAAAAGCATGTATAAATCCAGAGAAATGGGTAGGAGTAGAATGTGAATTCATGGTGTGTCAATATTATAGATGCTGTTAATAAAGTTATTTTAGTTAAGTGAAGATACATGGTAATAGAGGTATTTTTTTCTTCATTGCAGTTTCATAATGATTTCACAGTAGTGTGAGTTTCTGTATTTTGAATTTGTGTTGGATTTAAAAAACTCTTCGTGTGCGAGCAGTTTTAAGCCTGAACTCCAGATCACCTATGGGTTTTCAAAGAAAAAGCCCTATGTAAAATGCAACAGTAAACTGTGTGTGCTTTTGTGTATACTGGCAGACATCAATCAAAAGTGATAAAAAACCACTGTGATGTCATCTCATTTTAATTAAATGAAAGAAAGGAATCTTTTTGAAAAATCTATTTGCAATAATTATATTTTTTTTCTTATAGTTTGGTAATAAATCTTTATTTTTGGAGTGAAGGAAAAAAAAAGAAAACGGAGAAAATATATGCAGATGCATTTGCGAGCCAAATTTACCAAGGGAGGCAAATTAAAATCCCACTCAATAGATTCTTCTCATTCCTTTTTTTCAAAGCTTTCTTCACTTCAGTTGTTCCCAAACTGTAGTTTGTGGAGAAATATTAAAAAGGAAAATTCAGTTTGTTTTCAGTTAAAAGTTTGTTCATAAGTAATATGACAATCTGAGAGAAAACTGGTTTTGCTTCAAAAAGTTTTAGGACTGTTTCTATAAGGCTGAATACAGAGAGTTTACCCACCAGCTGTGCTGCATCTCACTTATGTGTGATTTGGTTAGTGTGTGCAAATACCCGCCAAAAGATCCAGCTGAAACCAAGGAATAATCTAGTTTTTAAGATATTACCAGATGAAAAGAAACAGGGACAATATACCTTTCTTTCCTAATTCTCTCCCCTGTATTACCTTCTCTTTTGTTTTCAGTAAGCTACTTGAAGTCAGACATTTCAGATGCAAGGAGCCAGGAATCTCTTAACGTGACTTAGGCTTTTCATCCAGGGTGTCAGCATTAGGGTATGAATTGTAAAAGAAGTTGCACGTGCCAGCAAAGGAATTTTTGAAACGCTCTAATTGCTTTAGCCCTATGAAAATGCTCTGTAATAATAAGAGTTGAGCACTAGTCACCTGTTTAAAAAGTATGGAATTGTCAAATATTTAGTAATTAATCATTTGCTCTTGTGGTGAGGTTCCTGTCAGGTTACGTTTGTACAACAATATATATTTGTTGGTCTTGATTTCCATACATTTAGATCAGATTGTTGAGAGTTTATTCTCACGTGGAAGTCCTGGCAGCATTGGTCGTATTTGTCAACTGTATTAGTCATGGAGGAGACCCACTAGAACCTACTCTTCATTGGTTCACGTTAGAACAGTAAGATATGCTACTTTCTTGCTCTGTTTTGCAAAGCAAGGATTTCTGCATTGTGCAAGCTGAAGAATTAAAGGAATCGCACTCTGAGAAGGCATGGGCTTAGTGGGGTAAAAGTCTAGCAGTAGTGCACTATTTCTCTAGACTGCCAACTGCAAGGCAAATCTAGCAGATTCTGCAAAATTTAAAGTTTTGCTAGAAATTCTATCATTCCTTTAGTATTCTGTGGCAACCACATAGTGCACTCTTGATTTATAGAATGCTGACCCTCGATTCATCTTCGTTTCTTCCATGAAGGTTAATTATAAGCACACAGGAAGACTTAACAGTGAATTGGCTTTGCAGGTAGGAGGTTCACACAAAAACTGGCAAGAATAATCTGGACAGTTAGATGAGAAATCAGATCTCTTGCATTCTGGAAAATACCATGGAAAAGTCAACTACTTGCAGAATTACAAAGTATTTTGCTTGTGTTGATCAAGCTATTCCAATTCTTACTAAATTCTCCCTAGAGCATCCCAGTTCTACCCGTCTTCGCGCTAAAGGAATCACAGAATTTCAAGCAAAACTTTCAGTTTTGCAGAACCTGCTAGATTTACATTGCAGTTGGCAGTCTAGAGAAATAATGCATTACTACTACACTTTTATTCCACTTTGGATTGCTGTTTTAGCTGTATGCTCCTTTAAACAGACAAACAGCAGTTTGTGAAAAGGGGGATGAAAGATTTCCAATATATCTCTGAAGAGAAGAGGAAAAAGCAATGAAAGGGTTAACTTCAGTATTATGTAAAGGTAACATGGAGAAGAATATTAATATGTAGATGATTGGTTTTATTACTTCTCTCAAAATTATTATTTTGTCTCAGAAATCTGATTTCAGATTGAAGCGATGAACAAATTGCCTTATATTAGACAACAGCACTGTAACACTATGCCGTGAGTTAAGGCAAATGGATTTCATTAATCAAGCTACATGTGCTCAGATTCAGAAGTGCCTGTCTTCTGACATCTGTTTTTATCTTCTACAATTTTCATTGTGCTTCCTTATTTTTCCCTTATCACAACTTGTTTTAACATAACCAACAATTTTTTTTGTGTATTATCCCTAACATCTTGTTCTGATTGTGAAGAGGCAACCGTGCCCTGTGCTGACCACGTGCCAAGTGGCTGCTGCTGTCTAATGTAGTCATAAGGTGTAGAAACAGCTCAGTGCTTGGCAGGAACAAAAAAGTATGCTGGAGGAATTTGCTTCCCAGGAAGAAGAAATTCTCTATGTCTATTTTCATCTTGCATGAGACTTGTGAAATACTGAAGTCATGTCAGGTTCTGAAGTGATTATAATTTGCTCCTGACTTTTGGTATTTTTTATTTTTGGGACAGCATTGCTCCATGCAAAAGATAGCTGAACAGTTCCATGTTTCAGTGGATATACTCCAACGTACAATTTTCTCACTCTCTTCCTTCTTGTTGGAATCTGCACTGGATAGATTTACTGCAGATTTCAAACCTGTCAACACCCAAATGTGTGACACCAGCTCTCAATACATGTGAAAGAGCTAAGCTGAGGGACATGATAATATGTAGCAAGGGAAGGAGACAGAAGTTCCGCAGAATACATTTTGTGCCATATAGAAAACTTTTCTATAAACTCCATTTTGAAATTGAGCAACTCTGTTATCAGCCTGTAGTTATCAGCAAGTTAGAAAAGAGTAGGACAGGAGTTTGAACTTCGTGACTCTCCCTTGTACTAGAATGTTAGAGGAATCTGTCTCTGCTTATACTGCAGAGAGTTTTATGAGCTGCTTAAATCACAAGCCTGAAAGTTATTAAAAATATGTGTAACTACCAACTTCAAGCTAAGGAAGTCCATGTTTTGAAAATTCCCACTGTCGTCACAGAACAGCCTCACCCTGCAGCCT